ACCTGGGATACAGTAAACACTCTGTACGTGTCAGCTGACGGCACCATCACCCTCTAAGGCTCACTGTGTTAACTGTAAACTCCTCCACAGAAAGACGAGCAGCTCAGCTGACTGGGATCATCTCTTGCCCCTTTACAAAACCTCTCTATTTCAACCCTCAGGAACACAGGAAACGTCCACACTTTTCAGCTCTTCCAGCACATCACTTAGTTTACTGATTGTTTCAGTTTAAACTATTAACCTTACTCTTCAAAACCAATCTACCTAGCCTTTGCTGATACTTTCTTATCAGTTTGAAGAGTTAAGACGTCTTTTGTTGTGAATCTTGCAGCTGCAGGATTTTATAGACAAAGTGCCTCAAGCTAAACGTTTGTTATTACAGATCCCAGTTTTCTCGGCTTGCTCCAGGACCGTGTATCTGCTGACAGGGACAACTCCATTTCTCTTAACTTTATGGGGATTTCCCCCCAGTCCTTCTCCAAAATTTGAGGAATTACGGCAACAATTATTTTTATCGTTCGTTCTTCTTCGTGGCTTGTCTTTTAAGGTTAACCCTCTAACAGGCAGCTGTCTAGCGGGTGTGTGCATGTGCGCGCGTGTATCTGGAGAGGGCTTCAGTCACTGAAGATTTCGCCCACTTGGACCTTGGTGTGCTCTCCTGACGTCTCCACTGAGACTGTGTTTCAGACTAGGGTAGCTGTCTTTCATTACCTTCCTGATTATAATTTCTACATTGCTGGCATTTTGTTACCCCTTGAACGTGTAGAATTCACAGGCAAACCTCCTTGTTTTATTTTCTGTGCACAGGTTCACACAGTTTCTCTTTCACTGCTAGCATCTCTTCCTAAAATTTCTGGTGAGTTCAGTTTATATGTATTTTTACTAAATCAACAGTCTTTTGATGTTTTACTTGATTGTTTTAATGCAGAACCTACATAGAAAGAATTTTTTTAATTCATGGATATTTCATTTACTTGCCAGGAATAAAAATCAGTATGAGCTACCTATCCACCTAGGGCAAGTCTGGAACTCATACACTCAGCACGCGATTTCTCAGAAAAGCCAGATGTTCCTTACCTAAAGGAAGGTGGGATGTACTCTGCAGGCAAAACAGGTGGCAGCGGCTGGCCAGACATTGCTACGTCAATCAGGTGCATAGCCAGGATGAATTCTTCTGCTGTGAGTTTTCCATCCTGATCAATGTCGGAAAGATTCCTAATTCAACAAAAAGTTCATTGTAATCTCTTTTCCTAAAAATGCACGTTTCTCACTCCTCATGAGCGGTTTAAAAGTTGTGTCCTTTTCTGACCGTAAGCTAACTGCACCTCTCTGTGCCTTAGTTTGTAGAAATATTATCTATTTCACACGACTATTGCAAAGACAGGCCTTCAAGGGCGCATCGTCACAGCCTCCAGCCACAGGGGCAACGCGTTTTCTCCTCCTTGTTCTTGGAGTCAACAGTATGAACCTGCCCAAGGCGCTGATTACAGTAAACAGCTTTCCCAGCAAGTCCAAGAATGTGATTTTACTTAACACCTTCTGGACATTAGAAGAGGATGAGACTGTTGCTGTGGAGTCGATTCCAACACACAGCAACCCTACAAGACAGAGCAGAACTGCCCCATAGGGTTTCCTGGAGCGGCTGGTGGATATGAACCGCCGACCTTCTGGTTAACAGCTGAGCTCTTAACCACTGTGCCACCAGGGCTAAAAGGCAGCTAAGAGGCAACAAATCTGTACCCCAGAATGTCGCAGGTCAAACGCCACACTGGGAAGCTGCCTTTGCCCAATGCCATGATTCCGGAAACCTTCCTCTTAATTCTCAAATTCCTTCAGGTGCCATAAACCATTTTTCCTTTTTTTATTAAGGTATAATTTCCATACAGTAACTGTACACTTTTTAGATTACAGTTCTCTGGGTTTTCACAAACATACAGAGTCATGTGCCTACTACCAAAATATAGAGAATAGTTTCATCATCACAAACAATTCCTCCAGGTCTCTTTATTGCCAACTCCTTCCCTTACCCCTGGCCCCGGGCAACACTGATGTCTTTTCTGACCCTCTAGTGTCACCTTTTCCCGCTGTCAGACACCCATTTATTACACAGTGATAAATAAAAATCCCCTCCTGTCTTCTTTGTCCACTTTTCATTTTTGTACCCTATCATTTGCCACTCTTAGGTAAATTAGATTAGAAAGCAGGTCCAATTATTTGTTTTTTTCCCATACTTGCCAAATCATGGCTAGGAACATTTAATTAAAGTAACTTTTAGTGTGTAGAAGGATAACATAACAACTTTCTAATAGGAGAAGTCTCAAATATTTTTTTCAAAGAAGGCAGGTTATAAATGTGAGATTAAATATTCATTTCAATGTTTTCTGGTGTCATGGGAACCACCTAATAAATTATCCATCAACTTCCATTAATGTCAGATCTTTAGTTTACATTACAGAGGGCCCTTGGATGCTGGCCGCTATGAGTGGGAATGGACTCGACGGCAACAGGTTTGGTTTTTGTTTGTTTGGGATGCTGGTACTCATCCAGACCTACAGAGGTATCGGGTGTCAAGAGATGGAGCAGTGGTTAAAGCACTCGGCTGCTAACCGAAAGGTCGGAGGTTCGAATCCACCAGACACTCCTCTGGAAAAAGATGCAGCAATCTGCTTCCATAAAGATTTACAGCCTTGGAAATCCTATGTGACAGTTCTACTCTATCCTATAAGGTCACTATGAGTCAGAATTGAGTCGAAGGCAGTAAGTTTAGTGGGGTGTCACAGATACAAGGTCTGTTATTAACTGGTATATTCTACTGCAAAAGGCAAACCCTTTAACATAAAGCAGCGGTAATGGAATGGGGAAGGAGCAGCACTGGAGCGTGACCACCTATGAGGCAACCAGGTCCACGTGCCCTGCAGGGAAACTGTGAACCCACAGTGTGAGCACTGGAGACCAGGCTTTATTTACCAGGAGAAACCACGGTAGCGCACCATGGAAAGACACACGCTCGTTGGAGACTGTTCCGGTAACATTTCAATGCAAGGGCGCTCTGAGGGTCTAGGCGGTGCTCAGCAAAGGTCATTAAATCATCACAAGACAGACAGACACAGTGTGTGCCTATCGACGAAATTACATGCCACCCTCTGATGTACCCTTGCCCCCTCCACCCCAAAGAAAATTAAACTCAAATCTGATCAAGCCTCTAGACCAGTGGCTCTCACCTGGTGATGCTTTTGCACCCCAGGGGACATTTAGCAAAGTCTGGTAACACTCCTGATTGCCACGCTGGGGGGTGGGGGACAAGCTACTGGCATTCAGCAGGTAGGGGCCAGGGAGGCTACAAAACGCCCTGCAATGTACCAGACGGTCCCCACAACAGCGAACTGCCCAGCCCAAGATGCCAATACTGCTGAGGCTGGGAAATCTTGCTCCAGATCCAATTACAAATTTATAGGACATAGAGCAAACAGAGGAACAAATCAAACGACGCCTATACCACAGGGATGCAGTCACCAAACTTCAGACTCTAAGAAACTACAGGACAGACTGTTTTTTGCAGAGGGTGGAGAACAAGAGAAGGGGAACCTACAGGTTAAAGGTCGCCACGAGTCAGAATCGACTCCACAGCGACCAACAACAACCGATGTGTCAATCAATCACTACAAAGTACGGATTTATTTTACTCCTGATTTAAACAATAAAGCTATTTAAAAAATTATGAGGTAATTTAATGATAAAGATTACTGTTAAAATTTTTACGTGGGCTATCGACGTTGTGGTTATGTGTTAAAAAAAAAAACCCTATCTCTTTTAGAGACACATGCTAAAATAGGTGCAGCTGAAAAGATGTGATGCGCGAGATTGGGCTCAGAACTATCAGGAGGAGGAGGGAGAAGCAGAACCGGCCGTGAGCTGAGAACGGGCTAAACCACGTCATGAGTTCTTAAGGGGTTCCTCTGTTAATCTGCTTTTTATTTTTCAAAATAAAAAGGGGGAAAAAATCAGAGTGGCAAAACCACAACTCACTGAAAATTAAGCACCTATATATTCCCCATGCAAATAAAGGTATGAATCGGAGGCCATACTATACCCGTCTAAGAAATAAACTTTCCACTTCATACAAACCAATGCACTTTTCATTCCTTACCATATTGAAGCCAGCTGGGCCTGTGGTAAACTCGATTGCATAAGAATAGTTCTTGCTTGGGGACCTACATGGAAACCAGGAAAAAGATAAAGAGATGAATCAGCAAATTGTCACTGTGAGGAAGATCAGTGCTGGGCGCACACCACCTCACGCACCCATGGTGATTGAGATGATACTTGCCATTACCCTGGGGGCTTCTTAAATAGGAAATCAAGCCCCGATAACACAAACCCCAGGCCTGGTGTATGGCACATAACATGCCCCCCATAAATCCTCATTAAATGCATGCTTACAAGTAATGAAGAAATCGCATGTAAAGATTAGGGTTTCAGGATATAATCCGCCCAAAATAGAAGCTTTTGTCCAGATCACCACCTCGATTTGTATCTGGCTTTTATTCACAAAGCTGAAATTTATTCTAAATTCACCACCTTCTGCCACGGGCTGCTGTCCTCCGGACACCATCAGATAAATTCGGGAAGAGTCAGAGAATCTGAGGGCGTCTCTTCTAAACATTTTATTGCACAAATTTTAAAAAGAGTAACTTGCTCACGGTGGCTCCAATGGCGAATATCACAGCCAGGACTAGAACACTTTTTCTGTGACAGCAATCAAAAGGAATGTCTGAAATTTCAACATTCTTCCTCTCAGAATTAGCTTTCATTTCTTCAAAATACTTGTAACTTCAGCTCTGGCATGAAACTAGTCTTAATCACTGCAAGGGTCTGGCACGTGAGGCCGTAGAGGACTGTACAAAATACACCCGTGACCTCAGCGCTGTGGGCTCTGGTCCCGGCTCTTCCTCACCTGAATGGACTCTAGTTCTCTCATTTCAGAGGCCCTTTCCAGATTCAAGAGCCCTGCTGGCTCAGGGCATAAGAGCTTGGCTGCTAACCAAAAGGTCGGCCGTTCAAATCCACCAGCTGCTCCTTGGAAACCCTATGGGGCAGTTCTAGTCTGTCCTATAGGGTCGTTGTAAGTCAGGAATGATTCGACAGCAACAGGTTTGGTTTTGGTTTTCCAGATTAAAAAGTCTATGATCCACTGCATAAGGCTACGTAACACTGAACTTAGCACAGTGCTAGGACATAAAGTGTTCAATGATAGGTAGTTATTACTGATAGTACTTTGACTTTTATTTACGTGTAAAATATTGGCAGAAAAGCACACGTGAATATATACATGTGTATGTACACATGTACACATGTAACACAGCTAAATTGTCCAAACTGAAAATGCTCAAGTAAACAGCACCCAGATCACGAAACAGACTATAACTGACCCCCCAGAACCCCCTCTTGGGCGCCCTTCTAATCATCACCTCCCACCAAGTGTAGCCTAACTTCTAACAGCACAGCATGCCCACTGCTATGTCTGGCTTATCTGCTCAACGTCCTGTGTGTAACTGCAGACCACTAATCCTCACTGCTCGATAGTACGCCACTGTGTGAACATGCCACCATTCACTGGCCCATTCTACCGCTGACAACTTTCGGGAAGCTGCCGGTTTGGTGAACACAGGTACATAGTCCTGTTGGATTTGTGTGTGTGCGTATGCGTCTATACACGTGTATCTTCAATATTTTTAACCCATTCAGAGAAGGTTCTGGGCTAACGTCCAAGTTAAAATATTGAAAACTGAAAAAGGAGTTTTAAAAACTGGGAGCATCAAAGACTAATAAACACTCTTTACTGAATTAATGGGAAGGTTCTAAAGGTTCTGTGCTATCTGGAATGAGGAAATTCCACCAAGCATTTTATTTAGAATCTGCAACATGATTTATTAAGGTTGGCAATACTAAAGTAGAATCACCACAGCCTTAATCATCTTCAATCTACACTTTTAACAATTCTCCCCACTCTCGAACTATATAAAAGAAAGTTAATAGTTCACCCACTTCAAATAAAGAGTGTAACACTAAGTGAGAAGAACTAGCCCTAGACCTGAACATCAGGAGACCTGGGTTCGCGTCCTGACTCCTCCCACTCCCAAATGACACAGGGCATTAACAAAACCACCTCCCTCCTCTGAGCATCAGTTCCTTCATCTCTGAAATGAGGGGAATAAATGATCTGGAACAGGGGTTGGCAAACTACAGCCGGCTGCCTGTTTTTTGTAAATAAAGTTTTACTGGTACACAGCCATGCCTATCCATGTAAGTATGATACATGACTCCTTCCCATTGCAGTGACAGACCTGAGCAGCTGTGACAGAGCACATACGGCCCACAAGGCCTCTATAGAAAACGTCAGCTGACCCCTGCACCAGACGACCACAACAGTTTCTTTGAACGCTAATGCTCATTGACTCTTTATGTCCTTAGACAATGTTGTGAGACATTAAAATAGATCCAAAACATCTAATATAGCATCTCAGCATAACAACCAAAACCAAACCCAGTGCCGTTGAGTCAGTTCCACCTCCTAGGAATGCTGTAGGACAGAGCAGACCTGCCCCATACGGTTCCCAAGGCTGAAATCTTTACGGAAGAAGAACACTACATCTTTCTCCTGCAGAGCGGCTGGCAGATCCAAAATGGCGACCTTTCGGTTTGCAGTCAAGCACTTAACCACTGCGCCACCACAGCTCCTTTCTCAGCATCATGGGACGGCAAAAAAAAAAGAGCTTTGAGTGCACACAACTATCCTGTGGAAGCGCACGTATGTAATGGGGAACTGGTTTCGGACTCTGGTTTAAAAAGCAACATTATGAGGATAAACAGAAAGCTCAAGTTCAAACCCCACTCTGGACATCCATGTTTGAGAACGGCAGCATGAATGCAAAGGGGAGAGATAAATGCATGGAGTTAATGTTTAAAGGAGCCCTGGTGGCGCAGTGGTTAAGTGCTTGGCCGCTAAACCAGCCACTCCCCAGAAACATCTCACCCCGGCATCACTGGCACAAATCAAAAAACAGAAAATAACAAATGCTGGAGAGGCTGCGGGGAGATTGCAACTTTTATGCACTGTTGATGGGAATGCAAAATGATACAACCACTTGGGAAAATGACATGGTGCTTCCTTAGAAAGCTAGAAATAGAAATACCATATGATCCAGCAATCCCACTCCTAGGAATATATCCTAGAGAAGTAAGA